CCCAGCTGCTGTCACAGTGACGCACTGTGTCACAGGGACACTACGCACTCTACGGTGCATGTCACAGTGACACGCTGTGTTGCAGGGACACTACACACTCTACGGTGCATGTCACAGTGATGCACTGTGTCCCAGAGACACTACACACTCTATGGTACATTTCTTCTTGCTTCCCTTATGACAGGGAGTCTGAGCTATTTCCCGGTTTGTTTGTAGCTGATTTAGAACTGTGAGTTGCTATAATATTGTAACTTAGAAGATAATGGTTTAGGATGGCAATTAGAACTAGCCAAACATGATTAACATGCTTCGAGTGTGGAAACAACTTTCTTTATCCAGGAATTACTTCCTAGCTTGAAAGTTCTGACAGAGGAATTGGCAGAACTGGCTGGAATATTACCCATTAAAGGCAGCAAGTGACTGAACAAGGAACAGGTTAACATTTTGAAGCATCTGTGAATTATGCTATTTTATAAAAATAAAGCCTCCTATACAAAGCTTTTACATTGGTTGTTTCACTAATGCTTTAATTCTTTATCTGAGGAATCCCATGTCTAGTTATCTTTTCTATTAGGCTTGCCTTTTTATAGAGTCTCTTTCCATTTGGGGACTTTTTTTCTATGTGTAAAACTTCGAGAGGGCACCAAGGCACTCAGATTGATGAAGTCCCTGTACTTCAAACTCACAGATTATTTTCTCAGTGAAAGATACCTGCCCAGTGGGCTGACCTGACCACGACCCTCCTAAATCTCATTTTTTAATTTGTATGGAACAAAATATATTAACAGATAACATAGTTATGATTGTTTTTATATATCTCATCTACAACACTGACAGAAAATTATTCAAACCATTACAATTGAAACAGTGAATAGGAGTGATAATATCTTTCATAGGAAAGATCTGTTTCATTCTGTATATTTAGATTCTAGCAGAAAACTAAGTCTAGGGTAGATAGTCAAACATTAATTGAATGCATAAATTTCTGTTCATCAAATTAGGACATATATTAGCCATGAGGAGTCATAGAAATAGAGAATTAAGGGACACCTACATAAAACGATACTATATAAAAATTTTCAAATCATATGTATTATATTAACAAAAACATAGGTTAAATGTTTTCATTTTAAATGACTTTTTGTTACTAAAACAATATTCACAATTACATTTATTTATTTACTTTGTCACTATTGTATGTAAAGAATAAAAGAATACAGACTCATTGTTAATCAAAATGAAAGTTGACAAGTAGTTCGATAAGCCTTAGATTGATAAAGATAGGTGTGTGCTGAAAACACCAATCCCTGTCTAAGATTTGAACTGGAAGTTTTTTCTCTAAAATTATACATTTCAAATTACTGGTGCTATGTAATCACTTATTTGTCAAAGTTTTCTTTAAACAATTCTAGACAGTTAACAGGACTTTGAATGACGAGGATAATAGACTTCATTGCATGGGCTTTCAACTTTTTAATCTTGGCTTGAATGTTAGCTGTTGGACTAGCATATAATTATTTTTACAAAATGCACTATCATGACTGCCAAAATTTTCCATGACTAACCATACCCTGCCACATGTGTTTCAGATTCTGCTGAGTCACTTCTTTGCTCCAGAACTCTGTGTTCCCACCCTTAATTCCCTCTGGTCTTTTTTCATATTTTTCCTTTTACCTGAATTTTGGGTAAAATGGTCTCATAGCTCTTTTTACCATTATATATATATATAATAGCTTTATATGAATGACTCTCAATTTCACCTGCTATCATAAGCTTAACCTACCTTTTTCCTGGGGAGATACACATTTTGTACAATTCATTCTGAAAGGTCCGTAAGCCTTGCTATGCAAGGACAGCTCTCAACAGCCTCATCAAATGGCTGAGAAGTCTTCTGCTTCACCCTAGAATGCAGTCTTTTAGAAAAATGCTAACCAGTTCCTAAACTTCCACATTTGTTTCCTGTTTCAGCTACCTCTCCTCCTGATTAGATTTTCTGGCTGTAGCAAGGATCAATAATCACTAGTTAGACAGACAGCTGGAGCTGGCTGTCAAATGATACCTGGCAATCCACAGTGGGTTTCTATTTCCTTATCAATCTGAGCATTTCGAAACACACACTGGCCAGCCCCGAGACACAGAAATTTCATCTCTTGAATACCAATGAAAACATCTGGCTGCATACATAGTTCCAAAAAGTATTCACTGATTCAAGTTCATCGTGCAAACGGTTGAGAGATGTAAAGGAACAAAATCGTCCTTATTCCCCCAAGGAGCTATAGTGGAGAAAACAAACAACAAACTAATAGTCAAAATCAAGTGAAGCATGGAGTAAAAACCACATCAGTCAGTGAAATTGGTGGGAGTACTAAGAAAGCACAGGGGAAGGGCTGCGACATCGCCCCAGTCATGTCCAGGCCCCTCACCGACCACATGTCATCACCGGTAATGCTCGGGCAGTACGACCTCTCCTGCACGTCTCCATGCATGCATTTCAGAGCACAACCATCAAGGTATTTCTGCTGGAGAACAGTGAGTTGCCCAAACTGCACGTTTGCCCCACACCAACTGAAGAGCATTGTTAAGCCTATAGATGAACAAATTAATCCAATAAGCCTGGGCTTGGAGGTCAGTTTTTACTTCCACACATTGGGAGTAGAAGAAAGCACGGCCCTGGAAAGAAATCTCCTGGGGTCAGAAGATCAGATCTGACAGGTGAGGTTAGGCAAGCTGGTTCACTCGGGGCCAGTGGCCGAAGCACTCTCACCCATGAAACAATGTCTGTGAGGTCGCCCCGGCCCTCTTGACATTCTAATATCTAATCATAAAGGGATTGGGCAGGACAGTCTGATTATCATTATAGTTTAGGAACTTTTCAAACTTCTCCAAGATGTATCATATAGGAGAGAACGTTAGTAATTGGTAAGGTTGACTTTACTGAAGGGGGGGGTTAAAAAAAATTGTGTAAAGTTAGTGAAATTTTTTAACAACCAAATTTGTGTTCCTGTGCAACAAATAGCAACAGTGAAATTTTAGAAATGTACTTTGAACCATGCTGAGCATCTGGCCAGTTTGATCCACCAGGAAAAAACTTCGCTGTGAGATGTTATTTATCATGGCCTGTTTTCTTCCTCTTCTTCTTGAAAATAGTAATAATTTTTAGTGTTAATAAAATCTTGAAGAATGTTGCTGTACTTTTACTCCAAAATCTATGCAAACACCCAAGAAATTCCTCTTTTCTGCCTGATCATTTTAGTGACTGTGCAAAATATAGATTCATGTAATTATCAACCTTTAAGGCAACTTCTGTATCACAATCTAATGTTAAATACATTTTTCTTATCAAATTGCTGGTCTTAACATGACTTAAAGCCCTTCACGATTTCAGGAGAGTTGGCGGCTCCAAATGGAATCTGTAGACAGAGCAACGATTCCTGGGGTCTTCCAGCACACCTGACTGAAATGTAACATTTTCTCCTACTTGCCTTTAACTCACAGTAGAAAAAAATCACACTCCATGTGGGGCCAACAGACTCAGGCCAGGGACTGCAAAGAGGAGGATTGCGTGACTAAGTTTTGCAAATATAAACTTTGTGGGTTTCAGAGCTGGAAGAGAACTCAAAGAGGAAATCAGCAAGTTCAGCCTACAGTTTCCAGGACGAAAGGACTACAAGAGCTAAACCTGGATGTGCTATTTCAGTTCAGGCAAAGGGAGAAAACAAAACTTTTGCGAAGTTTTCTTTCTTTTAAAAATTAGGGTAATACTATGCCTCAGCAGGTTATATGGAAATGTGTGTACAGTATGCATTAAAATGCAAAGCTGATTTCCCTGGGGGTGGGGAGTAGTGGGAAAGAAGAACAGGAAAAAAAAGACTACACTCGCCCGCTAAAAACTCCTCTGTCTGTCCCATAGGCAACTAACTACAGGGTAATAATGAATGATGGGAGGTTAGCCCTGTTCAACGCCATTCAGTGTAAGAGTGGGCATTCTCCTGCCTGACTATTTTATAGCAAAGTCCTAATTCAGAAAAAGCAAACTTAAGATCAGTAGCACGAAAGTCTGATTATGTATTTTAATTTCATTTTTTGTTTCTCTGCACTTGAGGGGAACTCAGTTGCACGACTGTCTTCTTCAACGTGAGAACGATCCTTTCTGAAACCGCAGGCTGCAGACGTCACCCTGTAATTCTCCCAGGGGCAAGATGCCAGGTTAGGGGCTGCTTTTCCACAGTCACTACCCCGATCACCAAGGACATAACTGACCTTCGGACCTGTCCGCAAACACCTGCATCTCCACCGCCCTTACAGACCGCCGCTAGGGGCCCTGGGGGGTGGGAAGGCGGGTATCACTGCCATCAGAGTCGAAGACCAAACCGCAGCTGGCAGAGGGCCCTCCCGGCTCAAGGCCCCGCGGTTGCGGCTGCAGATTCCAAGGCTCGGCTCCCTCGTGGGCAAAGCTGAGGGGAAACGCCTCCGCTGTACGAGCGGCGGCAGGAGACCGGAGTCGGTACTTGGTGTTAAACTTGGCACGTCCTGCCCCTTCCATTGGCCGGGACAACGCTGTACGGCCAAGCGGAGGGAGGATTCCCCTGCCCGAGTTCTCCCCGAGAGCTCCGTCCAGCGCTGCTTCTCTTCCTCCCACCCCCAGACCTGTGGTTCACTCGGAGTCGCCCGCCCGCGTGGCCTGGGGCCAGCGGGCTGGTGGGTCCGGGGACCTGGCGGGGCCGGAGACCCGGTTCCCCTCCGCACCTGGAGCCTCCAGCGCCCGAGGGGCAACTCGGAGCCCGCCGGCGCGGTTGAATCACAAGTGAATCACACTCTTCTCAGGGTCTCGGAGTTTCCTACGGAGAGGAGGCGGGGCAGCGCTGCGGATTCGCCTGGGCCACGCCGAGCGCCTGCGGCGACCGGGCGGGGGCGCGAGGGGGGCGGCGGGGCGGGGCTGCGCCCCCGGCCGAGGAGGCGCGGGCGTGCGCGCGGCCCTTTATAGCGCTCCAGGCACCGGCCTCCCCAGACTCAGGGTCCCCGCGCCACTTCCAACCTTCGACCGGCCGCCCTAGGGTGCCTTCCGCCCAACCTCTCCAGCCTCCGGGCGCAAAAGAATCCTCCTGATCTCGCCACCGGCTCACGGACATGGGGACTCCCACTGGATTCTGGTTGCCCGGCACCGAGACCGCTGTCTCTAGAACACTGCTCCTCGGCTGGGTCCTAGTCCAGGTGGCCGGAGCCTCCGGTGAGTGGCACCCGCCTCCCCGAAGTCCCGGGGCGCTCCGCTGGAAGGAGGGTGGACGGTCCTGGCTGACAGCGGGCTGACTCTGCTGCCCCAAGGTGCCCCCCAGCGCCTGCGGAGCGCAGCCACGACCGCGCACCGCTGTTTGAATGAACCTGGGCCTGTGGCGCGCAGGCGGGAGTTGGAGGGAAGGTGGTTTGCGCAGGGACCCGGCCTGCATCTGCTGGAGATGCTTGTGGGGAGGTGCGTTGTTGCCTAAGTGTATTTGTGGCTTCAGCTTTGAAGTTTAGGGAAAGATCTTCCCAGTGACTTTGAAAGTGGTACTCAGGTCCTCACCTGCACGAGTCAGTGGGCAATGGTTTGGATATTATCCGTAAGTGCGAACTTCACTTAATAGAGAGCGGCCCTCAGTATAATCTTGATGGTCTTTGTTTTAGATTGAGTTAAAGACAATCCTGTTGCAAAATGCCTCTTGGACTGAAACAGTCATTACACTCTGCGTGTCCCAATACGCCTGTTCTGTGTGCTAGGCAGGCAGAGACTGACCCAGGGACTACTGCAAAGCAACCCATAATAATAAAGCATCCTAACCAGTGCATTCCCTGGTGTGACAGGTTGCACATCTGCCTGGGTGCCTGTGGAAGGTTCAGTACAGAGACATTTTAGGTAAAAATGAAGAAGGTCAAGGTTTGGCTTCATCATTATATGCAGCCCTAACTCTCACACATGTGGAATTTGCCCATTTCCATATCTTATGGAAGGCTGTAACTAGAAAAGTCGGCCCCCTGCCCAACCCCAGAGTCCCCCAGCTGGGCCACGGACACCCTAGGGTGCTGATGGCTCCCGGGCTGTGCTTCCCAGTCACGTTAACACAGCGAGTCCCCCATGAATGACTTCAAACAAGGATTTCCAGATCCTTGTCTGTTTCCTTACCTTGCAAGGAAGATCTTACCATAAGGAAATTCTGGGACTGGGAAAAAATTGAAGATTTCTTTTCTTTTGATAATTCATTACTGCAGCTTTTGTGGTTAGGAAAAAAATTAATGTTAGGTTTATGGTAATGTTTGGGGCGGAGGTGTTTTATACCCACATGAAATCATGTGCTGAGAAGTTCATGTAATAATAGCTGTTTCTCTGTTGTTTAAAGGCACTACGGGTGTCGTGGCGGCATATAATTTAACTTGGAAATCAACTAATTTCAAGACAATTTTAGAGTGGGAACCCAAACCCATCAATCACGTCTACACTGTTCAGATAAGGTAAGCTAAGTACAAAACAAGAAAAATAAGGTTTTCAATGTTTCCTCTCTCCTGTGCCGAATACAAATGCCTGTAAAGCCGATTGATGGATGAGATTACTTAATAGGTGACTTGGTGATTTGCTGACCAGAGCCATACTCTGTCAAGCCTACATTTCCAGACTTTAAATTGATAAAACATTGTAGTTGTTTTGGGGGATGATGGTAGAAAAATTCCTAAGTGGAGCATGAGCTGTGGGGGGCGGATAGCCTTCTGGAGCCAGTCACGTTGGCACCGATAGGTGATGTGCTTCTACATGGACAACTAATCTTACGAAAGTGCACGGGTCTGTTTCCAGGCTGTCTAGACTGGGAGCCTGCTCTAACGTGTTAGGGAAGAGATGAGGGGGAAATCGGATGTATACTTTGCTCCGAAGCAATGTGTATGCATTCACCTTTGGATTCATGATTCAAAATTCGGTTGCTTATGTGATAGCAGCGGAGGTCGATTTCATGACTCACCAAACCGGAAAGACATACTCCTCTCGTACCCTCAGCTTCCGGGGCTGCTCTGCTTGTTTAACTTTGTCGCTGATTGACAGCTCTCCCCAAGAGCCTGTACTTCAGTATATTCCGTCTAAAGGTCAGCGTGTCTTCCTTGAAGGTTTTCAGCATATCCTGCAGGTTTCTGGTTCCTGAAAGGTTCTAGGAGGCTCATTAGAGATCTTACTAATTAGAGGAGAGCAGCTGTGGATGTTATTTTAAAACTAATTGTATAAAGGCACAAAAGTATCACTGGCTAAATTTAAGGCGTTTTGCTTTTTGGTTTGGTTTAGCTGGTGTCAAGCCTTTTATAGCATTAGGAATGTAACACCTAAGTATCAAGAAGCTCTTCAGAGTGGATGTTGTTGTTTTTCAAAATGAACTTAATGACAACTGTTGCCAGACCAACAGAGAAGAGAATTTTTTTTGGGTGTGTGTGTGTGTGTGTGTGTGTGTGTGTGTGTACATAGAGGGAGAGAAAGGAAATTCATAGCCTGAGACCATAATTATGATTATGGTCAAATTTATCGATTCAGATTTCATTAGTCAATACAGAGCTAAAGTTGGCCTCAGTAGATACTTTTCCTCTGGAGAGTGAAAATAACATTTTAGGAGGAATGCTTGCCTCCTAAATATATTCAGTCTTATGTTTGGTGAACATGCGGAAACATAGTTATGATTTGCCTGATTTTTAAACATAAGCCTTTGTTAGCTCTCAATTCTTGGACTTCCCAAGGCAATTTTAATTGAACGTAGCCTCTAATGTGCAAACACCCGTGAAGAGCTCCCACTTGGGGGCGCTCGCGACATGGGATTCTGGCGAAACTGGCAGCCCCTCTTCACTCTTGACCCTGTGCTAGAGAACACGTGAGCAGTCCTTCCTCCCTGCTGGAGACTTCACTCTTCTCCATCCTCCCTGTGGGGTAAGCGGGGCTCCCGGGTGAACGGAACCACAGCAATCATTTTATAGAAGAGAGAACCGTTGCCCTGGGAAGGTGAGGGATTTGTTCATGACTGCATTAACGATGAGTGTCCAGCCAGGTCTGGAACCTTGCAAGGTCTCCCTAGTATTCCACCGCCGCCTTCTCTGGGGGTTCTGCGGCAGTCAGTGCGAAGCCCCAGAACTGGCAGGAGGAAGGACGGTTGGTGGCAAAACACGAAGTTTTTTGTTTCTCAGGCTTTTTTGTGAGGCTCCATCTCCTTGGTGGCCACCTTCCCTCTCAGTTTTCCTTCTTTAGAGGAAGCATCTTAACCTGCTAGTCCTCTTCACCAACTGGCCTCTCCCAGCCGCAGGGCGGCACTGCTGGACCTGAAGACCCTACTTGGATATCCAGCTGTCGTCTCCCTTTTAGAAACGGTTTGTGATCATTGCAAACAGTTGTTGGGTCAAGCACAGAAACGTCCATCACCTGTAATGTTGATTCCACGGGAATGTTTGAATTCTGAAACTCAACTTCCGAAGCTTCTAAAAAACACCCTTTTCCTAAATTAATGATTCTGTTGGAATTTTTAGTAATTAAGACAGGACTTTTACTATTTCCAAATTGGGAGATTTTGCAATAAATACCTGGTGGACCCTCGAAGGCTGTTAAAGTGTTAATCCTTCTAATAGTGTTCAGAGGAACTGACTACAGAATTGTCCCTTCATTACCTGTTCACACAACTTTACTGATTTTACTAGTTGCAGTGATATAGGTCCTTGTGCTAAATTTTGCCACTGAATACTGTGATTTTGACGCGCAAGCTGGGAGGAGCCAAATACTATCTCTCAGTGGGAATGTGGTTGCAGAGCGTGGCACTCTTTCCCCTGTCGTCTGAACGTGTTTGCCACAGCGCTGGAGAAGAATCATGTTTTCCTGCACCTTTGTAAAATGCATTTTGTCACTCTGGAATTAAGACAGCCTCTCTACTTTTATACAGATAATTAGAGAAATCTAAGAAGTCAAAATATTTCTGTATCAATGTTAGTTTGTGAATTTTAGGACAAAGTGTATGTTCACCCAAACCCTCGTAACCTGATTATTTAGCTCCAATTCTCTGCCAGATACATATTTACAGCTCTTATGTATGTATTCAGATAATTGAATTCAGCTTGTTTTCTCCCTGATTCAACCTGTAAATGCAAACCATCTAGTACTCAGCAAGGCCTGGCTGTGCATAAGCCCTGCAGATTTGCTATTTAACAGCAAACACCAGGGCACAGGCTCCTGGTAACAAGCTGACCATGTTAAATATGAAGCGCTTTAATGAAGACGCCAGTGCTGGGGAACAGGGAAGGGAGCGGTCAGTTCTGGGCAAGGTCTGGAAATTCCTGAGGGAAGTGGGGTTGGGACTGGCCTTCAGTGATGGCCGGGGCGTGGCAGAGAAGGGCGCTGAAGAGAAGGGAAGAGCAGCATAGCTCCCAGTTTATAGGGGGCAGAAGTATGTGGGTCACGTTGCAGCAGCATTTACCTGCACGCTGTTTGGGTCCTTTAAAGTAATTTTAAATGTATACAAATTCTTTAAATAATTTCCTCTTCAAGGAGGTCTTACAAAAGGAAGATCTTTAGTCTCTTAGTCCCTCAGATTTTGTCCAAGAGATACTACTACCTGGACTGTTATTCTGTAATCTTAAATGGGATGTATTTGCCTCTTGTAAAAGCGGGGGAGAAGTGTCGCAGAAGAGAGGAACAGATCCAGTTCTCACCTCCCTAGTTACATGACTTAGCTACTTAGTGTTCCTGAGCTTCAGTGTCCTTGTGTAAAAAAGATCCACTACTGTCTTAGAAGGACTGTATCAAATGCAACTTGTAAAAGGCCTGCTACAGTACTACTTGGCATATCGTACACTCAATATATGTTAAACAACCACCCCGATAATTGTTGTGATAGAATGTAATGTATAGAATATATTATATAGATTCCATTATTAGTACATTGACTATATTCTACAGACTATAGAGTGTGATAGAATGGAATATAGTACAATGTAATAAGTAATAAATAATTGAGTCCTAATACAAAAAATTGTCTACATTTTAAGAAAGATATTCAACAAAATGGTTAAAAACACAGACCCAGTCATCAAACTGCTCTCTGGCTCTCAGCCCAGGTGTGTGACTTGGAGCTGGTCACCTGATCTCACTTTGCCGCACTTACCTCCTCGGTGAAAACGGGTGATTACGGAGCCGTCCCAGGTTACCCAGGTTACCGTGAGGACTGCAGTCATCTGGAGTGCTCAGCGTAGCAAGTGCATGCTCACGAGTGGTTGGGGAGGCTATTATTGTAACAGCACCGCAGCCAGAAAGCCTTCTGTCTTGTTGGATACAAATCATAATGTTCCATTTCTCTTCCTTCCTTTCTTTAGCCATAGATTAGGAAACTGGAAGAGCAAATGCTACTCCACAACAGAGACAGAGTGTGACCTCACTGATGAGATTGTGAAAGACGTGAAGCAGACATACTCAGCGCGGGTCCTTGTCATGCCGGCGAATGCCACCGGTTACGCCGGGGAGCCCGTGTACACAAAATCCCCAGAGTTCACGCCTTACTTAGACAGTAAGTGTTTGGTTTCCTCCTTGCTTCTGAATCTTTTTGTGAGCTTATGACCCTTAGGGGGCACTAGTCCATAAACACTTTTTTTTTCTCGGAAATTGGGTAGTGCCTCTCACTCATTCTGATGTGGTCGGAGACTGACAGAGCTTGAACTTGGGAGTGAATGACAGTGTCATCGGCACCTCTCTCCACTGGTCTGTTCCCAGTCTGTACCAGTAACAGGCTGTGTGGGGCCTGGGAGACTAGGAAATAGACCAGGGCTGGGGTTTCAGCGTTTCTCCTCATATATTTCAGGGATTATATTCACATATATATACATCACACATAAATATCCTAAAAATTCTGTCCCAAATTCTATCAGACCAGAAAGTCCCAGTTGAAGGTTTTTCACAGTCACAAATGCACAGGGAAAGTCTCCTTTCCCTCTGCTCTCAACTTGCTGACCTTTTTGAATTAGTTGGCCATGGTTTGTGCCTGCATTTGCCCAACCAGCTCTCAGCCTGCCTCCTTCATGCTGGTCTTTGCAACTGAAGAAGACTTTCCTCCCTGGCCTTTGCCCCAGTACACTGACCTAGCATCTCCCAGAGGAATGCACGGCATTCCTGCCAAACAGGAGATTGCATTTTCCTGTCGTGACTGTGGTTCCAAAGTAGGTATTTTAAATAAACACGTAGCACCCTGGGAAGAGTGAAAGCTTGTAAGGTCTTTAAATCTTGAAACGTCTTTGAAGAAGACCTAGAGTTCAAGGTTAAAATGAAAGTGTCATGTTCTTGGTGCTTTTAAACCTATCCTTCTCATCACCCAGCGAGAGAAAATACTTTCTCAGGCAGGGATGGTGAGAAGGGGCAGACGGACGGGCAGTCAGCCAGCCTTCCCCCTTGAGTATCTCCTTCGAGGGTGGAAATAGAAGGCAGCCTTAGCCCAGGTGAACCTGGCTGCCTTCCCTGAGCCCCTGTTGGCCAGAACCTGTCTTCAGACTCTTGCGGCGTTTTTCCCTCGTGTGCCTGCCACGGCTGGCTCTCGGCCGGAGCTCACGCACCACGTCGGCAGCCCCCCCAGCTCCTCTGCTTCCTGGGCTGCCCTGCTCCTTCCCTTGAGGGCATCCTTGTCCTGGAGGTTTTTATGAGCCACTTCAGATCCACTTTTGGTGCAAGATAAATATATTATACATATGTATGGATCATCATACTTGCATATAATTTGCATTAAATTATTGGGATTGGTTTTACTGTCATTCAGCCAAAGTGCATAAGATAATTAGAGTCCCAGGGGTTAAAACTGGTCCCTTGAGGTACCAAGGACATTTCCAGGTTTCCCACCTAAAAATGGAATCGTATGCGGCTGTACTGTTTCATAAAGAAGCCACTAACCACATGTGGCGATTGAGCACCAGAACTATGCTATAAGATGATAAAATACACACTAACTGTGAAAAAAATCTCCAAAAGTTTTTAGATTGTGATTATATGTTAAAATGATAGTATTTTTGCCACATTGGGATAAATAAAATATATTAGCGAAGTTCATTTCACCAGTTCCTTTTCACGTTGTCTAATGTGACTGCAGGGAGAGGCACCATGACCTCGGTGGCTCTGGTTGTATTTCCGACGGGCAGCACGGCCACAGAAGGTCTCAGGGTCCGACACTGGTGCCACTGAGCTTGCTGTTGCTAGGAGCTGATTCTGTGCAGGGGTTTTATGAGGGGTGACCAGGGTGTCACTAACCATGATAACTAAACGGGATTCTTTGGTTCCAATGAAGTTTATTTTCTATGTTTAGCAAGCCTCGGACAGCCCACAATTCAGAGTTTTGAACAAGTCGGGACAAAACTGAATGTGGTCGTACAGGACTCACGGACCTTAGTCAAAGCGAACGGCACGTTCCTGAGCCTCCAGGATGTTTTTGGCAAGGACTTAAATTACATACTTTATTATTGGAAATCTTCAAGTACAGGAAAGGTGAGGATTCTTTCCTTTGATATTATGGCTTACTTTTTTTTACAACCCACTGCTTCCCCGACTCAAAACTGGCGGAACTGGGTAGATGAGAGTGTGGTGGAGTGGGTGGGGCGCCTGCTGTCCTGGCTGTGCTGGACTTCAAGCGACCTTGTGACTTCGGGCAGGGCCCCCTTGGACACTCGGGTTCTTAGGCCGAGAGGGTGGACCAGATCATCTCTAAGGTTCCTGTCCGGTCTCACATTTCTTTCTCTGTTGAAGATCACAGAAACAAAATTTGTTTTCCATTGAATAATTAATATATCCTTTTTTTCCTTTACTGCAAGTATCTTGTAAAGGGGCTCAGTTGGCCGTATCTAGTTTTGGGGCAAGCATTCTCAGCTGCCATCGGGGGGCGCTGTCTGGCCCAGTCCCTTCGGCCCTGCACACGCTGGATGTGCCCGCGCGCAGGCTTTTCCTGCTCAGCGCCAGTACAGGGGGAAGAGCTCACGTGGAGCCCAGATGAATTATGAACTCTCTCTCTTTTAACAGAAAACAGCCAAGTCAAACACTAATGAGTTTTTGGTTGATGTGGATAAAGGAGAAAACTACTGTTTCAATGTTCAAGCAGTGATTCCATCACGAAAAGTTAACCAGAAGAGTCCGGAAAGCCCCATTGAGTGCACTAGCCGGGAGACAAGCCTGTTCAAAGGTGAGCGGCTCTGTCCAGCAGGCACGGGCACGCGGATGGGTGCCTTCCGGAGGACCCCCTCCCTCAGAACCAGGATATGCTTTCACTCAGAGAAAAACTGTCTTGATTTTTCTTGTTTCTGTAAGGGTTGGGGGGGGGGTAACTCATAATTTTAGGCATTGAGAAATGTTTCTATGTTGTTCCCTTATGGTAGCAGGTGTTTTCTTGAGCATCTGCTATGGACTAAGCTGTCCGCTGAGCTCTGGGCACACAGTCCATGTTTGGAGGTTAGCATCAATCACAGATTTCTCTGGGCATGTTTTCATACTTAAATTCTAATCTTGGGGGCTTGGGGGGAGCACTTGGACCAGCTGTGAGCACCTGCAGTGGGCTTTGGCCACCGAGGATATACAGTCTAACCCACAAAGGGAAGAGATTGAGTCTCTCACGTGTGCCCACCGACGTGTGCTCGTGCCTGCGCACACACTGGGGCCGCCACAGAGCAGCCGCAGTGGGTGTTCAGACGTGTACGTGAGGCCCACAGCCTGGCAGTCTCCCTCCAGGCTTTGTATGGAAAGTGCTCGGAGCGCTTTCAGGGAGTCCGAGTCAAAGGACGGTAATGATGACCTAGCCCCTTGCTGAGAGGAGATTTGGAAATTGAAAAGCACTTTAAAATAGATTCTCCTCCACTTATTGACGCTGACAGAAGGGAAGGGCTCTCCTTCACTCTGGTCCTGCCCCTCCGGCCCATCGCACCCAGAGCCCCACGTCCATCCTCCTCAAGCCCACTCCAGTTCCGCTGCCGCTGTCTCACGCACACCCCAGCCGCTGCTTTCCAGGTCTCCTCTCGCTGCACCGTGTCCTTGGGGAACCATTGTAAATGCCACCCCCCCCCCAGAAAGCCTTCGTATTGCCCCACCCAGTCACCACCTCCCTGCACCTGAATTCTGGTAGCAGTCTGTGTGTCTCTCTGTGCAGATGGGCCATCTTCGACCATAATCACTGCCACCAAACGCAGCATTATTTTTACACACTTGTTTCTAACAGCTGCTCTTCAGTCTACGTGTACCTTCTCTAGACTATGAACGTTATTTTTTACTGAATGGCCCATTTAACGCTTTTGGCCATTGTCAATTACCCTAAGTCATCTAGGGTTTGACAGATTCTTCCCTGACCAAAATGTGTTGTGGTAGAAAGAGTAGAGGAAATAAATTTCAAATTACGTAAAAACAGGGCGATGTAATTTGGGATTAAGCCCTCAATCCCGCAGTCTGATAAATGGGATGCGAGCTGTCTTTCCTTGTTGACTTGGTACCTTTTATTTTGCAGACAAGTTCTTCATCATCGGAGCAGCAGTGCTCGTGGCCATTGTCTTCATCACCACCCTGTCCCTGTGTCTGTGCTACTGCAGGAAGGCCAGAGCAAGGCGAAGCAACGAGAAAAGCTCCCCCTTCTCTGTCGCATAGAGCACAGGACGTTGGAGCTGCCGACTTCTGCAGAGTTGGTGTTGCACTGTGACCAAGAACTTTTAAGAGAACAGAATAGATGGAAACAAAAAGAAGTGTTTTGATGCACGGAGACACTTGGGCCCAAAGACAGTTCTTTATCTGACTGTTCTCATGACTAACATTCTGGTTTCTACCCCAGCACCTGTCACGCTGGAATGTGATGAACGGTACGACCAATCCCAAGGCTTTTAAATTTCTTTTTTTAACACTATGGCACCTTTTGCACATATCATGCTTTGGACTGAATGTTCTACACCCCAAGACAAAACCAGGTCATCTGAGCAAAAACAAATGAACAAATGCCTTAAAAAATCCTGGGTAGACTTTTGGAGAACTTTTCAGAGGCTGACTTTAAACCATGGGGGAGAGTAAAATGGAAATCGGGTGGACTTTTCTAATATATGTCTGTCTTTTTTTAATGTGGTGTTTAGGTACTTCTCTTTTTTTAAGAGGTTTTTTGGAAGTTCCAAACAATTAGCAAAGTTTTACATGAATGTATTAAACGCAGAAGACTTCCACTTCGGGCACATTCCTGACATGCATTACGGTTTGGCACTTTAACTGACATCAGTGCTGTTGACTAAACACTTGACAGCTAACTACAATATAGAGACTTTATATTTTAGAGTTTATGATTTAAGGTACTTAAAGCTTATGTGGACAATGTCATATATATTTATATAATTTTTGAAAAGGTTTTATATGTGGGGATTTATATTTATAGAGGTGATATTGTTCTGTTTGTATATATTGAGATAACTTATTTAATATACTTTTCTACAAATAAAGGTGACTGGGAATCGTGACCATTGCATTCTCGTATCTTCCATTTATTGTTTGTGATGTTGTCCTTGCTTTAGTTGGCTCAGCTGCAGACAAAGGACCCTGAAATCCTCAATGGCCCTGACGACATTATTTTTGTATATGTTTATATCTTACTTACATTAGTTTGCTTGCTGTGGGTTGACTACAGCTGCTTTTAACATCGTCCTGTTCTAGGACCCAGACTACAGTGCAGCCCATATTCAGGTCGGGGCAGAGGACAGGCGACAAGAAGCTGGTAGAAAAAGGCAGCCACGTCTTCAGGCTTCAAGTCGCCTCTTGAAACTCGTGCTCCATATTGGCCCACTGTCCCTTCAGCTGCCATGACACTGGCCCCAGCAAGACACATGACCAAGCCTGACAATATCCTGCCTCCAGAGAGGCACCAAAAGTCACAGGACAGTGGGCAGGACGGTGTCACAGGGAAGGTGGAACTTACGCGATCTGCTGCAGGTTGAGGGGGAGATTTCTTGCCATAGACATTACTTTGAGTTGGCAGATGACAGTTGGAGAGGAGAAAGGAAAATTCTTTGGATTATTTCCTTAAAATTGGATAAAAGGACAATGTAATATAGGGAGAGAGAGTAGAGCTGGCATCTCTAGAACAGGGGTGTCAAACTCTTTCACCAGGGGCCACATCAGCCTCACAGTTGCCTTCAAAGGGCTGAAACAATTTTAGGACTGTACAAATGTAACTACTCCTTAACTGTTAATGAGTTGAAATTACATTCGACCCTTTGAAGGCAATCACGAAGCTGATGGGGCCCCCAGTAAAAATGAGTTTGACATCCCTGCTCTAGAATTAATTAGAAGCTCTTTGCAGGCGGGACTGGGTCAAGTTCATGTTTACAGCTCCGCCAGGGTGACCGTGCAGATGGGCTCTTACGGTGGGGTCGGGTGCATCACCTCCCACTAGAATGCAAGAACAGTGAGTCCTCCATTCACGGACAAATAAAATACAGCAGAACCGTCCTGTTCTCTCAGCTGTACTGAAAGAAGATTCTAACTCCAGATGAAAATGAGGTTCCTGGCACCCACTTGGGCCACAACCCGATCTGCTTCCTGCTGTGGAGGCCTGGGCCCGGACGGTTCGGGAAGAGCATCCAGATGGCTCAGCTCCCTGGACGTGGTCCCGCAGGGAGACCCCGAGCAAGCATTGAAATGAGCAAAGACTCGGTTCACCGTCCAGCCATTCATCACATTGAATCCATTTTGTTCCTTTGCGGAAAATAACTAAGCACGGGCAACAAAACTCTAAACACGAAATGTTTGATATAACATTATGTTCTACGGAAGAATAGACAAAACAAACTTTTGATGTTCCCTAAAAATGGTAGCCTGAAATGGAAAAAGAAAGGTACACGTTTTGAAGAAATTCAGGAAAACAGACTAGAGGATTGAGCTGATTTTGTTGGTTGGCTCCCAATAATCAATGTGTTGAGACCAGAGAGTGTGTGACATGTCCATCACACATATCAGTGTGATGAACCGTACAATGCGGCGTGTGTTGTGTCAGAAAAAGAGGGGGCGCGTGTGCAGCAGAATCAACAGAGGAAAGGCTGGGTGGGCCGTGACCAGAAAGAATTGTGCTTTGCCCAGGATCTCGATTTCCTGCACACAGGGCTACCCAGGTCAAAGAGCTTAGTTAGCACTGCAAAGTGTAAACCAAGCTCCCGAAGCCGGTGCCTGGCAGGGCACTTCCATTAGGCTGCGCGTTCCCTGTCAGGAATCATCACGGCATTATGCAATCCTGTGGCCTCATAATCTAAGGAATTTTAATGGCTCCACTAAAGAAAATACTGGCAAAGTAAAAGCAGGTCTGAGTGGTAAGGAGAGGGTCTGACTGTTCACAGGGAAGGAATCCATTGCACATTCCAATGAAGCCTCCCTGCAGTAGATAGGAAGCTTCAATGCCACAAAATTTAACCCTGTCTCAGGTTGCCGCAGCTCTCCTGATCGCTGAGCCGAAATAGATGCTGTTGCTGCTAACAGCATCCTGAGCACTGGAGCAGAAACCATACTACCAGTTGTTGGCTGGTCCCCTGAAGCCATACTGCCCTCCAGTGGGCCAGATTCTAGGGCATTACTTACCCTGGCCCTTAAAGGATCCCGTACACCTGTTACTACATGAAACTTTCATGCTTTGAAGAGAGATTTTTTTTTTTACCATCTTAAGTAATTGACCAAGTTTGACTTACATAGAAGTTTATACTAGTGGAATCCAAAAACAGTTTACCTTAGAGCCAATAGCCTCCAGTCTAAGTACCCATCTCTTGAATAAATAAATAATCTCTATCCATCAAATAGTAGATAAACACATTCTCAAACGTAATTTTTACCTGTTTTAGGATATGTGTATTTAGCATGTGTTATTTCTCTCCCGTGATTGCTTGAGAAGGTGTATTAGTGTTACAATGGGACCTTCATTGTGATGTATACAGTGATCAGTTTTCTTTTCCCACAGCCCCAGCTTTTCAGCTGGGTGTTCGGGTGATTCTGGCTTTGCCTTTCAGCACATTCTCATCGCTGCAGAAATTGGTTAGGGGTTGGCACATGGCCTAACCTAGTCCAGGAAGGGTAAATCTCAGGGTCGTTTTTTTTTCTGGGAGTATTGGAATACTCTGTTTCTTGTCAAAAAAATATTCTGTTTCATAGTGAAAAAAAAAATGTCTAACCTCAAGACCTACTGGCAATTCTCTTGAGACCATAAAGGGAGCAGCCTTGGCTGGAACTGGCACACTGGACAGCAATGCAGAGTGATGGAAAGAAACTAAGTCACCGAGCTACTGGAGCTACTGGAGCTACTGGATCAAGCCTTACCTGAACTTATCACCATCTGTGGACTTTTCACAGGATATAAGCCAATTAGTTGTTTACGTAAGCTTGATTCTGGATTTCTTTTTGACTTGATTGACCTGTGGTCAAAAGCACTGTTACTGATGCTGTGTAACCATGGAATATAAACATGGAGGAAGAGCGTACCTCTAATGGGAGTTTATAATACGAAGAGCTTATCATGTAAAATAACATTCCATTCTCAACTACTAAACAACTTTACACTAAAATTATTCCCTTTCTGGCAACTTCAGGTTCTTCTTTACTATTCCATCATTCTTACTGGAACAGAAACATACTGTATTGTGTTTCTACTTTTTAAAAAATCTTCCTTTGACCTTATAGAAGCCCTCTTCTGAATTTCCTCCTCACTCACTACTCCTTGGATACCCTCCTCCTCCTTCTGACTTCTAAATATTGGCTTACCTTCCTCCTCCAACCTACTCTCTATCAATAATCACTCTCTAGGCGACACATCCAAGTGCATGGCTCTGTCATCCGGCCCTACCATGCTTGAGGTCCACCGCTTCTGTGTGCTGATGACCTCCAGAGTGCAGCTCAGCCCCCGGCCCGGTTCCTGCACCCACAGTGGAACTGTGCGTCCGAGTATCTACACAGCCTTTTACAAGGATGTATAACAGGCATCTCAATTTTAATATGGCCAACAAGAATCTATTTCTCCCGACCACAAAACGTGTTTCTCCCCTAATCTTCTCCATTTAAGAAGTGTTACCGCCCTGGGCATCATCACCAACCTTCCTTCGTGCCACATTCACCCTTCGGCAAGCCTGTTGGCTCTGCCCTCGGACTCATCCCCGTCCCGAAGCTCACCTTCTCCTCCGTCATTCCTCTCCTTCAGGCCCTTCTCACCGCCTCCCGGGTTATTGCACTATCGTCCCAGCTGTCCCTGTGTCTATATTTGGTCCCCTGCAGTCTGTTTTCCTCACCACAATCAGAGTAGTCCTTTTAAAATATGTAAATTTGCCCTGACTTGTGTGGCTCAGTGGATTGAGTGCTGGCCTGTGAACCAAAGGGTCGCTGGTTCAATTCCCAGTCAGGGTACATGCCTGGGTTGCAGGCCGGGTTCCCAGTGGGCGGTGCTCAAGAGGCAACCACACATTGATGTTTTTCTCCCTCTCTTTCTCTCTCCCTTCCCCTCTCTCTCAGGGTGAATGAATAAAATATTTTAAAACAAATAAAGACAAAATAAATATATAAATTGTGTTTTCATGGGTACTGTTCTCGACCCTTCATGAGGACTCTGTGGATGACTTGGCAGTGTGTCAGTTTGGCGAATCTAGAAGCACATTTCCGAGTCTTTCCCTGTATTGTTCTAGATTTGCACCAACCAAAAGAGAACCGTGCACAGGATGTGAACAGGGGAAGTGGAGCAGCAGCATTCGAAGGCTGGGCTGGCGAAAGGTAGGCCAGACAGGTGCAGAGGCCCCAGCAAAGCCCAGGCTGTTCTCACGCCACTTACTCTGTAACTGGCTTTTCTTCCTGACTTCCGGCCCTGCTGGACCAGATGCAGAAAGAGCAATTTTACATAAGGTTTTCTACCAGGTTTTTCTCAGGGAGTCCAAGGAGGGAACGACCACACTCTTCTGTGGGGACCCAGGAGAGCGGGGTGTGAGCTAACTGTCTTTTCCTCCCACAGTCTCCCCAGCTTTCAGGGCAGAGCACTCAGTTCTCTGGTGGCCGCCCTGGCCGTGCAAGGGCCCAAGGATCCAGCCATGTGCTGGAGCCTCCCGCCCCACCCTGCACCGCCTGGCCCCCTCCGCACTCCTGAGCCCTGAGTTCCGGCGCCCTGCAGCACACGAGGCCCCCTGAGAGGTATAAATAGCAGTAATGGGCCATGGACACAGTGACTGTACCATTCCTCCTTTTTCTAACACTTTATTCAGTTTTTTACATGTAGACTCCCGCTCCACTGGAGGGTTAAAACAATTCTAGGTCATTTGCAGAGTCCCCCCAACAACCAGTTTTTCCCTGCAGCCAAGTCTACCGCCCACGCCCACCCTTCCTGTGCTCTAGGCCCTGCCACGCCCCTACCTGGCCTCTCCCACCAGCTGGGGTGGGAGAGCCTCACTCTTACTTGTTGCTATTTTCTGGGGTTATTATAATTTTATATTTGTTTCGGATGTATAGC